AAACAGAACCTACCTGAAAGCAGTGGGTTTCTGAGAGGGTAGCTCCTGAGGTTTATAATTAGCCTTGCTCTCCACCCTGGCCCTGCTTCTCCATCCACCTAGATGTGAGCCTTGTGTTCCTGCAGCTGTCGCTGAGAGCTATTCCCATGGCCATGCCTTCCCTGCCACGGCGGACTGCACCCTCAATTATCAGTCAGGATAAGTTCTTCGTCTCTTTAACTTCCCGCCAAGGATGTGGTCACAGCGTGAGAGAAGAGCATGGGGGTGGGGAGTGGGCTTGTTTAAGAGACCCACAAAGAGTCTCAGTATCCTTTCCTGCTTCTCCTGTCTGCTCTCACAGCCAGCATCTCCATCTGCTGGTATAGAATCCTGGGGAAAGATCTTCAGAAAGAACCAGGAAGTCTAAGTCCTTGGTGTATGTTTATTCATATTCTGTTGTTAGAACATAATCCCTGAGGCTAGTGCAGTGTTTATAAAGGGAGGACATTTGTGTAGTAATGGAATTGACTAGCAGCATCATGGAATTTGGGAAGTCCTACAACCAGCCATGTACAGGTTCAAGAAGCAGCTGGCTTGGTAACATGGCTTAATTCAAGCTCCGAGCCTCAGAATGAGAGAAGCTGACTTACCTCCCCCAGTCTAAGCTCAGAGATTATTAGCTCACTTAATAGCTGCTGGAGAGGGGGCATACGACTACCATTCACAAGCCAAGGAACCTGGGGTTCTGGTGACCAAGGTCAGAAGTGGAGGGATGTCCCATCCAGGGGAGAAAGGCTGTGAGTCCTCTTCATGTGCTTTCCCATTTCCATCGAAACTTCTGCCAACCACCACTGGGTTGTATCTTGATGAAAGTCTTGGTTATTCAAGAGAGAATCATATAGAAAGACATTTCTTTAATTCTTCTTCAATCCATTCATTCTTTCATTAGCCTTTGTCTTTTTATATTTGTGGTGTGTGTGTGTGTGTGTGTGTGTGTGTGCAGGTGCATCTGTGCAGGTGTTTATGCATGTGTATGTTCATAAGTATGGAAGCCAGGGGACAACGTGGGTGTCATCTTCAACAATGCCATCCATCTAACTGACCAGGCACTCACCAGTTAAGGTGAGAGTAAGGGGCCAGTCAGCTCCAGCATCTTCCTGTCTCCTCCTCCTCAGTGCTGGGGTTGCAAATGTGCACCACTGTGCCTAGCATTTTTAACGTGGATTCTGTGAGCCCAGTTCAGGTCTGCTGCCTGAAAAACAAGAACATCACTGGCCTCAGCATCTCCCTAGATGCTTCATTTGCTTCTTCAGAGCTTACTAAGGGAGGGGATCCGTGATGGGTGCTGGGAAAGAAAACAAAACAGGGAAAAACGTACCTGTTCTCAAGGCCCTTGAATAAGCTACCCTTTTGATTGTAAAGTTGATATAGGCCAGAGGCAACTTTCTTAAAAACATTCTGTGCGAATGAACAGCAAGTATTTCAGGTTTTGTGCAGCATGGGCTCCCGTGGGAGTGACTCCACTCTGCCCTCCTGCTCGGGAGCTGCAAGGGGATGCTTGTGAAAATGGGTGTGGGTCCCCTCGGGAGAACTTCCCAGACATTATAAATTTCATATAAATTTCAAGTGTCTTATATGATTATTAAGATGCCCCCAATCATTAACAAGTGCAGAATCATTCTTATTTGAGGGCTGGACAAAATCAATTAGCCTTTGGGCTAGAGTTAGCTGGAAAGTCACAGATTGTGACTCCTCTTCTAGGATGGCCACTAAGAGTCTAGATGGGTGAATTCATCACCAAATGGAGAGGTCACTCACCACTGTGGTGTGCTCTGTCTCTGCCTTTGCACTTCCCTCAGTGTGTGACCCTAACTGCTAGTCCACAAATCTTCCACAAAGCAGAAATGTCTGCATGATTTTCTGATGTTATTGGGCATATCTGGGGGCTTGTTTTCCTGCAAGAAAATGAAAATGACTCTGGTGACTATTTGGTCTTGAAATGGTTTAATTTACTTTTTTTTTTTCTTTTTTCCCTTACCCTTTCTCCACAACAGAAATTAACATAAAAATTCCTTCTGGCTAAATTCCCAATGCATTTTTCACAGTGAGCATTTTCTGAAGTGAAAATTAGGGGCTTCCTTGCAGTTTCCATCAGGAATGTGAAATGGTGCAGCTCACAGGAGTGGAGAACTCAAACCCATTTATGAACTAATTCATGCTGGTAAGGAGGCCTCTCTGCAGCCTGCCAGAGGATCCTTTCTACAGAAATTCAAGCATCTGGGTGATGTGTTTTATTTTCCTTTCTTATTCTGTCACTGAGACGGTATCATCCGCCCTGGAAGACACTGATTGGCATTAGCACCTGTGGAGGACTGCACTCTGTGTCATCTCTAGACTTGCTAGAACCTGGGGTGCAAAGTAAGGTCTTTTTCTACCCCTCCACTTCTTCATCTCCAGCCTCACTGCCCCCCCCCCATTTTTATCTAGTGGAATCTAGAATCTAATGATGATGAACACTATTGGCAACCTCATAAAAACACGGCAGTCCAGTGTAGTGGGGAAGACACAGGGAAAGGAATGGACTTTTGCCTGTCTCTAGTTCTAACAATCTGGTTCTCAAAGCAGCCTTGGGTCTTTCAGGCTGATGCTCTAAGCTGGATCTAGATAAGTCTGTTTGCCTTTATTGTCTCTATCTATCTATCTATCTATCTATCTATCTATCTATCTATCTATCTATCTATCTATCCATCCATCCATCTATCTACCTATCTATCTACTTACCTGCCATTTTGTCATCTATTATCTTAATTAGGGAAACACCATGGCCAAAAGCATCTTGGAGAAGGAAAGGTTTATTTTGTTCACAGTTCCATAAAACAGTTCATTATCAAAAGCAGTAAGCTCAAGAACTCAGAAGCAGGAGCTGATGCAGAGGCCATGGAGCAGGACTGCTTACTGGCTTGCTCCTCCTGGCTTGCTCAGCCTGCTTTCTTTATAGAATCCAAACTACCAGCCCAGGGATCATCCTATCCACAATGGGCTTGGCTCTCCCCAATTGGTCACTAATTAAGAAAATGCCTTACAGCAGGGTATTATGGAGGCATTTTCTCAATTGAGGCTCCTTCCTCTCTGATGAATCTAGTTGACACAAAGCTTGTCAACTGGCTATGTCAACTCAAGTTGACAGTACATCTATGTATAATCTATTAACCATTGATCTTTCTACCATCTATATATTATTTACTGATCATCTATCTGTCTACCTAATTTTACCCATGGAATGTCTTGGATACCTAAGGTCTGATAACTCTGAGATTGTGTATAATTTAAATTCTGCAACAATTTACAGGAGCTACAGGGAGAAAGAAATCACGTTATAATGATTAAAATTACAGTTTTTTTTTTGTTTGTTTTTTGCATCAGCTAGATCTCAGTTTGAATTTTGGTTTCTCCACTTAGAGGCCAATGCAGACTTTAGGAATAATGATCATCTTCATTGTGTGTCTGCTTCAGCAGAAGAAGTATCTACAACATACTCAGTTAAAAACCCTGCAACTTAGATGTTTCTTTTCCTTTATTTTTGCTCCAAATTTTTGTTGAATTGCTTTGTTGCTTCGGAAAACACAGAAAAATAAAATAAATGTGCAAAATAGAGGATCTGACCCTCAGCCAGGTTGTATAGGGAAGGTGGTCAGGTGTGTTCAGCAATGCTTGTATGTTGGTGTGGCAGGGGCGGGGGCTGGGGAGAGGGAGAGAATCAGCCAACAGCTCGGCTTGGTGGGGTTTGAACGTGAAGGGTCTCCAACAGGGTCACCTGTGTGAACACCTGGTTCTCAGCTGGTGGTGCTGGTTCTGGAGGCTGTGGAGCCTCTAGGGAGTCAGGGTGGGTGGGCAGAGGGGGGTTTGCTGCATTTGCCTTGGAAAGGGTCTGCTGAAGCTCCATTCTCTGCTTCCTGATTTGCCTACAGGTGAGAAGTCTAGCAGCCTGTTATCAGCTGCACAGACCAACCTGCTCACAGTGACAGATTGACCCCAGTGAGAAATCAACCTGGCTCCTTCAGTTGTTTCTGAATGCTTTGTCACAGTCACAAGGAAAGTCATCAAAAGCCATCAATACAGAGCTCACCAGCCAACTTGAGGGTGTTAAAGAAGCAGTGTTCAAACTGATCACCAAAGGTTAAACAGAAGCCGCCCAGGGAGTCACGAGTGGGGTTATAATGTCATGAAAGGGATGGGGAAAGATTTTGATTTTGCTAGAATTTAAGGAGTGCAGGTGAGAAAAGTATCACCATGACTCTGATGGGAGATGCTGGGGAAGGTGCCTCGGAGACTGGTCCTTCACGCTCAGTGCACCTTTGTAATATGAGAAAAAGCAGCGTGCTAATGGCGGAGATGGTCTCACCTGAGAGCTGGGACAGAGAGCGGGGTGGTAGCTCGGCCACCCTTGCTGTGTCCTGCCATCACAGAAGCCCTTCAGCAGTCACTCAGCAGATAGCTGACAAAGCAAGGAGACCAGCAATAGGTCGTCTCAGTCCAGAACTGAGTGGAGTCCCTACCAAGGCTCTCTCTCCTCTACAACCAGTCTTCTTCCCCTGGGTTTCAATCCACAACGGCCCCATTCACTACCGCAACTCCCTTCCGACATCTGAACATCTCCGATCAGTTTGTTGGCATGGGGACGTGGGATGTGAAGATGGGCCTGCCACGGAGGAGGAAGCTGATGGCAATGCCTTGCAGCTGTAGAAACAAAGGCTGTGACTGATCAAGAGGAAAACTGGATCTGTCATGTTGCATTCTGGGTCTGTTTATAGGAGCAGAAACCAAGGCACCTGATTGTGGCTTTTCCCTGCTTTCCTGCCTGCAGAAACCACCCAGTCAGGGGCCTAGCAGGAAGAAGCTGGGCCAGAAAGGGACGTGTGTGTGTGTGTGTGTGTGTGTGTGTGTGTGTGTGTGTGTGTGTTTTCAGGGTTCAGGTGCCTGGGGAACGGTAATCCCAGAGCAACCAAGCTGGGGACGGCCGGATCTCCTCCCATATCCTTCTATATCACGGCCCAGCGAGCAGGGTGGGAGCTAGTTTCTTTTCCAGCTTGTCCAGGTTTGGTTCCAGCCGTCCCGCTGCTTCTCCGGGCCCTGGGTGCTTGCCTTTTCTCCTCCCTTAGCAACCGGGAGCCTGTGGACGCTACCAAGCAGCAACTGGGAGGCTGCGGGGAACCCGGGCAAGGAAGGGAGGAGCCCAGCCCAGGTGCTCTGAGTCCCACCGCGGCAGCAGCGCAAAGCCACCGTTAGCTGCGTCTGCACCTGCAGCGGGGTCCAAAAGGGATTCAGCAAAAATGAGCCATTCGCACCCCGCTGGGTAAGTGACAACTGGAGCCTTGCCTTGCTGAGGCAGGTGGCGGCTTCAGCCAGCGGCCCTCCCCCTCCCTCCCGCTGCGGAGCTCAGGGGCGACAGAGAGAGGGAGGGTGGGCTGGGAGACGGGGAAAACACAGATTCTAGGTTTCAAGAGGATGGCAGAAATCCCAGGCGTCCTATCTTCTCCCTGCCCCCTGCCCGTTCTCAGCCTGGAAAGACGGGGAAAATGGATGTGAAAACCGCATACAATAAGCAGGGATAGGCGTTAGCTGGGATGAAGATCCCGCAGTGTGGAACACAAGTGTTTAAACGCTGAAGTAGAAGTTACCAAAATACGCATTTGTGGGGAGATTTGAGGCAGAGATCAATTTTCCCCGCGGCCTGTCTGTGGCTTGCAAACGAAGGAGAGGTTGTTTTTATGAGGGTTTCCCTGTAGGAGGGAGAGCACCTTATGTCAGAAATATATCTTCCCAGTCACAGAAGCACCACGAGGGTCCTTTAGAATCACCTGGGCCCAGGAAAGTGGTGTGATACAGGAAAGCAAAAGATCAGGGCACGAAGCACCCAGGCGCCCACACATGGTCTCCTGTGGATAGAGCAACTCTTCAGAGGGCCTATTAGCAACATTCAGTACATCACAGACAGTGAACAGTCTTTGTTGGTTATTACACAAACAAGGTCTCCATTCTTTGTGAAAGGGAGAGTATCCAATTGCCTTCTGAATTAAGTGTGCAATGCATACTACATCAATTTTTATTATCACATTTCTACTAAGTGGATCACTCCCTTCCCCTCTTGGGTTTTGCAACTAATTGGATGCTTTTCAGTTGCATTTATCACACATGTTGAAGAGCAGTGGACTGGCAGAAGACACCCTATTTAGGATCACTTGGAGATGGTGGCGTCTCAGAGAACATAGTCATTGTTGCTCTTGGCTCTATAATCACACTTGAAGATTTCACTTTTTAATGAGTTCTCTGGATGAAAGGACAAGAGTCAGTAATGTTTGAACAATCCAAAGCCCTGTAAGGTGTTCTGTTAGAAGTTAGTTCCAGAACATTCTGGAGAGTAAGGGCCCTGTGCTAAATTGAATTTCAAAGCTTTAATGTTTTGCTGCTGAGTTCCTGAGCAAGTGTTGTTGGCCACGGTCCCATGGGACAGGAATAATATGTTTTCTGCAGATGCAGTTGGCACTTTGTCCCAATTCAGAAAAAATGAATGTGTCAGTCATAGTCTCTTCCTATGTTTGTCAAGTTCTTGGCTAGGTTAGGATCTGATTAGTCCATTTATCCATTTATGTGAAAATATAGGCTAACCTGTAGCTGCTTATTAAATTCTGCCAAGATTAAGATTTCAGATACCAAAGTCAAAATTTTCTGAAGCTCGAGTGGTTCTGAGCACATGGAGAAAGGGGACCTAAGGAAAGTGTGTGCAAGGATTACATGGGGATGCAAAACACACACACACACACACACACACACACACACACACACACACACACACAGTGGGTAGCCATTCCAGCTTTGATCTGGAAGTTCCAACCCCCATTGAGACTTCGGCAACTGTCATGCCTGGAGACCCGAGATCTGGATGGGACAGAGAGAACCATGATCTCCGGTCTCCAGGCGCCTCCCTTGGCCCCACCTCGTAGGTGTGACAGTTGCTGAAGTCTCAATGGGGGTTGGAACTTCCAGATCAAAGCTGGAATGGTTATCACCACACACACACACACACACACACACACACACACACACACACACACACACACACGCCCTGTGGATGCAGCACATCCTGCACTAAAACGCAAAGGTTCTTGAAATATTCTATGCTTTGTCTCTCTGTATCTACGACTGTTCAGGGTTAGGTGAAGCTCAACAGTTCCTGGTTGGATGAATGATACTGGCTGGGCCATGTAGTCACAAAAGAAAGCCATGTCAGGGCCGATATTCAGGACTTACAGGAGTCACAGTCCTTTCTGAGGTAATGAAATATCTCCTGATCTCCATTTCCACAGACAAGGCAGCTTAGGATTGAGAAATTTCTAAGGGTGGTACGGGGTGGAAGGGTCAGGACTGAAACACGAGGCCAGCATCTCCAGTCAGCTTGCATCCTTCATCGTCCCATTCAACAATCTAATGTGCATGATCACTAATGTATAGAAATTCTGTCCAAATCAGATCAACATCTGATGGATCACAGCCATAGTGATCAAGTATTTTGATATATGATGACAATAATTTTGTAATAGTGCATAGTGCATGTATAAATATGTCTTGTTTAGTTCATAAAGTTAAATGGATGCTGGGTGCAGGGCATACACTTTTAAATCCCAGTACTTGGAAAACAAAGGTAGGCAGATCTCTGTGATTTCAAGACCAGCCTGGTCTACATTGTGAGCTCCAGGCCAGCCATAGCTACACAGTGAGGCCCTGAGACCCTGTTTCAAGACAAGGTAATAAATAAAATAAATAAAGAAATAAGCAAATAAGTGGAAACAATGAACAGAAACATATTTAGTCTACATGCCTTAAAATTCACCCAATAACAAAAGCATTTCAAATTACTAAAGTCTCCCCCTCAAATAAAGAGAATAATTATTTCTCTTGCCTATGTTACCATTTGGAAATAATAAAAGTTTGAGTAGCAAATAAAAGTTTTCATCAAAGCTGAGAAGCCTTCTCCATCATTACTGAGGCACTTTGTACTTATTATATTTTGAAGATAAAGTGGTAATAAAGTTAAGTTCTGCAATAAAACAGATATTGTAAGTCTGAAATTTCTCCAGTCAGTTAGGAGAGTCTGATGCTGTCTCTTGGCTCTTTTTTGCTCTGAGTTGCTTGCCTACTTAATTATACCATGAAACACTGGATATAAAAACCACACAGGCCCAACACTGGCTTTGTTCAGATGGAGAATGGGAGTAAATAAAAATGGTCCTAAAAAGTCTTTCAAAGATAACAGAGACTTCAAGTCTCAACTGCCTCTCCATTTGGTGGATACCAACTATGAACCACTGTAGACAACACCACGGTCTCTAATGAAAGTGTTTTAGACCCAACAGTTTCATTTCATGGTCCCTGCAATTTACTAGATTCCACCCACTTTGCTCTTTGTGTGTGTTTATGGGCTGGGCACCATGCCTCAAGGTGGAACAGGAATATTAAAATCCCTCCATCGTGGATGAGAATAAAACAGTATAGCTCTGCCTTCATGCTCATCACTTCATGCGCATCCACATGAATGTGGCTCCCTGTGGGAGAGAGCCACTTCACTTAGAAGAGTCATGGAAGATACATCTTTGAGCCAAGAGGGGAGGGAGTTTATACTCCATGACAAGAAAAATGCAGAAAATGCATGCTTTGCAGGGCTGTTCTATGTGGTAACTCAGAGCCCAAACACACCAGTTGTGCATCTTTAGATGGCATATATCTTCCAGGCGGCAGTGCCATCCACTGTGGTCTTCACAGTAGGTCATATTTGCGTAGCCTTTGGGGTCTTCCTTCCATTATTAACAATGTGGTCCTCTATAGGAAATTATAGTTTGTTGCTCATGTCTATCCCCCAAATCATCTCTAACACAGAATTTCAGACTTGATATTTTTAAATACTTGAATTCAAATTTGGCAGTTTCTATTTATCTTGCCAACTGCTAGCTTTGAGGAGCAGGTTAGTTCCAGGTGGTTTTACCAGACTCCCATGTCCTGGCTTCTCCTCTCACGTCACAGGTCTTATTCTTTTTAATATAGATACCACACTCTTCCTTTGGCTGAGCAAACCCATTCATCTAAACAGATGGGAATGGAGAGGCATTTGTCCTGGGAATGCGGAATTCTCGGAAATCCTTCAGAGACACTTATTAACATTGCAGTCATCTGTCACCGGAAATGTTCCTGGTTAGCTTTAGATGACTACCCAATGAGTTCAACTGCTCTGGACACAAAGGGCTGGAAGCTATTGAGTTTGTAATCAGACCTGTTGCCCAATATGGAAGGTGTTTGTTGTAGCAACATCTAGAATATCCCTCAAATTTCCACTTTGTGTCTCTGCTTTGCTAAGCTTGATGCTCCCTACGGGACCCTGGATGGCGAGAGGCACCTTCCTTTCATGGGAGTAGAAGGTGTTTATAATTTATAGTGGGGCAAACATGAGGGGAGGAATGAGTATGACTGGAGGACATTTTCCAGAAGGTCCGTTCTAAAGACTCACAGGGGGAAATTGAGGAGCAGAGCAGGTTTCTACTGGAGCTAGCCTTCCAAAGTGTCTTCAGGAAAGCCTTCTGTGGTACCCCGTGAGTGTGTGCATCCAAGTTTGCAAGCTGGTTTAGAGAACAGTGCCACCATAAGGTCCAGTGGTCCTCTGCTCCTGTCCCTTCCCCAAACCTCTGCTCAGGAATGCAGGGAGAAGACAGTGTTCTCCAGGTTATTTGGACGAAGAGCAAAGTTGGAAAGTACAGCTTCTCTGACTGGATTCTTAACTCCTAAGACAGTACCACATAATCTAAGCCTGAGGGGACATGGACTTTTGAGCCTTCAAATTTCCAGCAATGTTATTCCTAGTGAAAAATCTCAAATTCTCTAGTTAGTGCTGAGCCTTCTGTGGTTCATTTCAATGCAGACCAACTATGCAGTAAGTGGGGGAGAGCTGTGGCTCTTCCCTCCCATAATTTCCTCCCTTCCCTACACAGATAGTCATCATATGGTGATCTCATAAATACCAAGTTTAAAGTGAAACACTCACATTTAAGTGGCACCAAAATCAGCACAAAGAAGCAGAGTGTACACTCCAACATTCACACTCTTCTGTGAGTGTCTCTGTCATTTTTCTTCAAACTAAAAATCCCCAAATGGTATGACTGTGTGCATAATTTTCTAAAAATGACAGAATAGTTGATTAATTTGAGTAAAACTCTTAACTAGCAAAGAGGTATGGTGAGCAGGCTTGTATTTGTACTTTCTATTCAAATACATTATTTAAAGTAAATAGATATGAATATTCACTCCTTA